TGGTTCTTTCCACAGTTTGGTGACCGTGGCCATTGCTGCTATAAACATTGGGGTACAGATGGCCCTTCTTTTCACTACATCTGTATCGTTTTTAAGAAAAAAACCATGTCCCAGAGGTTGTCTAAAATAAGAATGCATTTAAGTTAAAAAACACACAAATACACCAGTTTGTAAAATAATCTCTAAGAAGGCTACAAAATGTACATATGGTAAAAACTCAAATTCTCAAGTGGAATAAATTTACTTGAAATATTGATTTTACAGAAGCTTAAAAGTCTATTCCTAAGATACAGAATACCCTTACTTCATTTTTAAAGCAGCTATGGAAAGCTTATAATGAGTAATGAATTGTGTTTGGTGTTGAATTATAAAGTGATAATTACAGTAAAGGCACAAGCAAGTAAGCAAACTTTACACCATTCTTGTAAGACAGTAAAGTCTGAAACCACGGGGTAAGAAGAAAAAATGCAAATAAGATTATGTTAGATTTTTAATTTTATCTAATATTGTCATATGTTAGCATTAAACTACCTATTGCGGTATATTATCTGCACCAAAGAATACCATGTGCTTCAGGAAATAACTCCCAAATCTCAATAACTTACCCAGTCAATGTTTATTTCTCATTCATTTAAGTCCAATGTAGACATTCCTGGTCAGAAGACTCTCCTTCAAATGATGACTCAGGAATCCAGTTTCCAATCATCTAGTGGCTGTGTGTCTGGATGGCTGATTAAGAAAAAGAGCATGCAGAAGGATAAGGAAAAATGAAGAGTACAGGCCTAGAAATGTAGCCCAATATAAAGTCCAGAGTGAGTCAAATGGCTCCACCCATATGCAAGGATATTTAAATAACAGTATGTATTAATATATAATGAATATATGCAGAAATGAAATTTTTACATTATTAAATATAGTATTTAAACTCTGAAAAATGAGATTAAGAGTCCTCTCAAAATATAGAATAAGTGATAACATTCTAAAAAGTATGAGAAAATGTTAAGTGGGTTGCACAGTAAGTCCAGAATTTTCAATATCCATAAAAAAGGACTTTCAGGGGCGCCTAGGTGGCTCAGTGGGTTAAGCCGCTGCCTTCGGCTCAGGTCATGATCTCAGGGTCCTGGGATCGAGTCCCGCATCGGGCTCTCTGCTCGGCAGGGAGCCTGCTTCCCTCTCTCTCTCTCTCTGCCTGCCTCTCTGTCTACTTGTGATCTCTCTCTGTCAAATAAATAAATAAAATCTTTAAAAAAAAAAAAAAGGACTTTCAAAAAGACATCATAGAAATAACTGAGAGAAAATACACTGCTTAGGAATTTCTCCAAACTGAAAATATTCATAATAGTCTAGATTGAAATGGCCAAAAACTACAGTGCAAAGCAAAATTAAGAAAACCATTCCTGGGCACATAATGAGTGTAATTTCAGACCAAGGATAGAGGGAAAAGCCAAATTACTTGTATTTTAAAAATTGGCAGTAGGCTTCTAGTCGAAAACATTACAAATAAAAAGTCTGTGAAGACAGCTGAAGATCAGAAGAGATAAAAGAAACAATTTTGAATATACAGTTGTACCTCTCATTAAAGAATGAGAGAAATAAAAATACTTTTATGCATACCTGAACTCAAACATACTACCACTCACGAACACTTTCTGAAAGAGCTAGTAAAAGATGTGTTCCAACAGTAACAACAAAAAACTTGAACGAATAACAGGACACAAGAAGCAATGGTAAACAGAGCAAAACAAAATTCAGGAAACTCATTGTGAAATTTAAGTATTTATCAAGCTTATAAAAATCTGTAACTAAAATACAGAGTAGGGGCGCCTGGGTGGCTCAGTTGGTTAAGTGGCTGCCTTCAGCTCAGGTCATGGTCTCAGGGTTCTGGGATCGAGCCCCGCCTCAGTCTCCCTGCTTAGCAGAGAGCCTGTTTCTCTCTCTCCCTCTGCCTGCCGCTCTGCTTACTTGTGCTCTCTCTCTAGCTCTCTGTCAAATAAATAAATAAAATCTTAAATAAAATAAAATACTGAGTAGCAGCAGCATTAGATTTTGAAAAGCCAAGAGGAAAGGGTAGACAATAATAAAACCATGTTGACTATCTTTTTGCTGGAGAGTTATAATTACACATTAGAAAATTATAAGAATTTAGGGGCACCTGTGTGGCACAGTTGGCTGAGGGACTGCCTTCAGCTCAGGTCATGCTCTTGGAGTCCCGAGATCGAGTCTCGGGATCAAGTACCAAGTCCGGCTTCCTGCTCAGCAGGGATTCTGCTTCTCCTCTGACCCTCTTTCCTCTCTCTGCTCTCTCTCTCTCACTCTCAAATAAATAAAATCTTTTTTTTAAAAAGAAAATTGTCAGAATTTAAATATTTGAAAATTTAAGAGTCATCTGCAGAATAAAAATGAGAATATTAGAAAATTAGAACAGAATGGAAAATTAGCCATTTGAAAACAGAAGATGAAAAGAAGCAAGTTCAATAAAGCCAAAAAGGGAAGAAGAAGGGGATCTAGAAAGCACACTGCTCCAGAGAAGGAAATAACAGAAGTTGACAAAATTAAATTAAAAGCCTAGGTGATATGAAAGTCTCAAAATCTCCCCTTAAATCCTCATAATGGATTTAAAACAAACACAGGAAAACAACTTTGGTAGGCTGAATATAAGGGAAGAGGAAAATACACACCAAAACAATTAAAAATTTAAAAAATGTAGATATTAGGTAAAACAAATCATCAGTATGATGTGGAATATCATTGCTCACTGACAAATGGAGTGGTTTATCTAGAAAATAAGACAGAAATTTTATTCACTAAACAAAATCATTTTTAAATGTGTTAAGCATCAACTCATAAAATTGCACAGACAATTTAGTAAATTCACAATAATTGTGGGAAACATTAAAATGACTATCAGAACTCATAAGGTCAGGGGCACAAAAAAACAAGAAAGTTTAAAAACTTGAATCAGAACATTTACAAGCTTGACTACACACATAGTTACAGAATGACAATCAAATCACACACATGACAATCAAATCATACATATTCTTCTCAATTGTGTATATTTTTATAAAAAATACAGTAAGTGCTCAACTACAGCAGAACTCAGCAGTCCAGAAAAAGTATATCGCACGATAGAAATCAACAATCAAAATGGACCAAAAACAATGAACCTAGAGATGTGATAACATCCTCCTAAATGACTCCTAAGAATCCATAATGGAAATTTAAGATGATTTAGAACTAAATGACAACCCAAACTGCATATATCCAAAACTTTTGGATGTAGCAACTGAAACTCACTGGGAAGTTCATATCCTTATATCAGTAAATAAGAAAAAAATTCTGAAGAGAGAGAAAAATAGTTAACCAAGCTACTAACCTGAGGTGAAAAAAGTCAATAAAACAAACCTAATACCAAAGGAACAAATTAATGAAGAGAAAATCAGAAATTAGCAGAGTCGAATTTTTAATAGATTACCATAAACATTGAAGTCTGAATATTTAGAAAAACAAAATTGGCAAGGGTACTAGCACTTCTTAAGCCACTTCTCATGGCAGATAGGCCCATCTTTCCTTCTGGCTGTTACTACAAAAATCAGTACAATTGGTAGTACTGTCAGCTTCATTTGACTTCACCTCTGGAAGAATGAAAAATAGAAAGCCGTCATACCTTCTCAGGGAAGTGAATTCACAACCATGCTCTTACTTCTCCCCCATGTAATTTTAGATACTAATTCTTTCTCAATTGCCATTTAAAACAAGGCCTAAGGAGTATCTAGGTGGCTCAGTCTGCCAAGTGCCTGACTTCAGTTTAGGTCATAATCTCAGGGTCCTGGGATAGAGTCCTGCATTGGGCTCCATGATCTGTGGGGCGTCTGCTTTTCCCTCTCCCTCTTCTCCTCCCTGCCTTCTGCTAGTACTCTCTGTCGTTCTCTCTCTCAAATAAATAACATCTTAACAAAAAATAAATAAAACAAGACCAAAATTAAAATACAAATACTGGGAAGCTAAGAAAAAAAGCCTCTAATTTAGACTTCATAGTAACTAAAAATTAGTAAAATATGTCTATTTGATTTTATAAATAACACTTAGAATTTGGTTGCAATTCTGACGTACTTCTTTGAAAAACCAAGAATGAACCAAGTCCAAATTTTCTTTTTGCTAAGCAATTTCAGTAGAATTATATAATGTAATAAGACATCTTCCACCTCACTTTCAACTTTAGATGGCTTTTAAAGTTAAAGCTTTTAAAGAGGATTATTTCTAAGAACTCTCTGAGAGCTTTATCTTTATTTCAGATGTACTCTATTGATCCTTTATTAGTCAAGTCATTCATTTCTGAAGGGCTTTTGCAATTGTTTTGAGTTGTGGTTTCAATTTCTCTTTGCAGCTTGTGACAATCAGGCAAGACCAACAGAACAGACACGAGTGTTAAGCAGGGAAGGGTTTGGGAGGTTGGGGAGAGCTAATCATGTAACTCTTCTTTTTTCCTGTTTTACTGACATAGAATTGACAGAAAACACTGTATAAGTTTAAGGTATATGACATAATGATTTGATAGATGCATGTATTACTAAGTGATTAGTACTGTCCATCCTTCTCCCAAACTCTTCCAAGAAACTGATGAGGAGGGAACATTCCCAAACTCATTTTCATAAGGTCAGCATTACCCTGATACCAAAGCCAGATAAGGACATTATACCAAGGAAAAAACCCTACAGGCCTTTATCCCTGATGAACATAGATGTCAAGGTTCTCAATGAAATACTAGCAAATCAAATTCGGCAGCACATTTTGAAAAACATACACCATGATCATGTGGGATTGATCCAGAGGAAGTGAAAATGCTCCAATATATACAAATCAATAAATGTCATACATCACAATAATAAATGAAAGATAAAAAATCATATCTTCTTAACATAGTTCAAAAAAGCATTTGACAAAATTCAACGTCCATTTATGATTAAAAAAAAGATCACTTAACAAGTTGAATATAGAAGAAATATCTTCAACAAAGTAAAGGCCATATATGCATAATTCTTTATTTATTAGCAGACATTTTTACTGCTGCACTCACTCTCATTTTCCTATAATACAACCAAAGAGGGGACTCTGCTGATGAACACTCAGATAACTAAGACCCACTATATTCGGTTACTGCTAGCACATTTGTATACTGCTAAACGTAGAGAACAGCATCTAGAAGACCATCTAATAAGGACATACATGTAGATACAAATGGGGTAAATATCTGTTGGTTCCGTGTCAGTTTTGATTTATCTCCTCTTCGTGGGTCTTATTTTTCTGCCTATTTACATGCCTGGTAAATTTTGATTTAATTATAGGCACTGTGATTCTTGCCTTGCTGGGAGCTGGATATTCTTGGATTCCTGAAATAGTCTTCAATTTTCTTCTGGGATCAAACCATTAAGTTTGATCCTTTCAAATCTTCCTTTAAGACTAGTTGGGCAGGGGGCACCTGGGTGGCTCAGTGGGTTAAGCCTCTGCCTTCGGCTCAGGTCATGATCTTAGGGTCCTGGGATCGAGCCCCGCATCAGGCTCTCTGCTGAGCGGGGAGCCTGCTTCCTCCTCTCTCTCTCTGCCTGCCTCTCTGCCTACTTGTGATCTCTGTCAAATAAATAAATAAATAAAAATTAAAAAAAAAAAGACTAGTTGGGCAGGAGGAGATTAGTACTCAGTATAGGGCCTATCATTCCTCCCTACTAAGACTTTCCGGTCTATTCTACCTAATGCCATATTAATCACAAGGT